AATCTGGTTTTAGCCTCTCAGAGCGCTAACTAGCTGGTAACGTTTACTTTTAATTCCTTGTTAAAATGAGGCAATAATTTGCAAGATTTTTGTATATATATGTAAATTCTTCACATCTTTTTAGATCTAATTCAATATTTTCTGACTGCTTTTGCCATGTATAATACCATTTTTGTGCATGCTTGATGTGACATTCATAATTGTACCACCATGACTTTATCCATGTAAAATAGCTATTTATTGAATTTTGTTTTAAAGCTGGATTTACTGTTTTTTCCCTTCTATTTAGGCATCTTAAACAGAATTTGTTACTGTTTATTAGAAGAATTGCGTTTGAGAGCATGAAAATAACTGGTTTGCAAGAATATGAGAAAATAATAATGCCTTTATTATCAAGTGTTAAGCACAATTCTTATAACAAACTGTGATAAATTCTTTGTGGTTTTTTTTTTCTTTGCTGAATTATTTTTGTATGAACAAACCAAAAATCCATGGTGAGCAGTTGCAGTGTTGGCTGATTTATCTTTTATGTACAGGGAATTTGAAGAGGACAGCGGATTCATTTAGAAGTGTAACTGGTGCTGTGATTATAGCAATACTTTACTTCGTTAGTTCTTCCATCTCTTTCATGCTAGCTTATAAATGTTTAGTTTTCCTCTTGTCATGGTCAACTGCTGAATTTACTTGAAGGATGTAGAATACTGTTTAAACAATACTAAAGTGTATACAATTAGGTCAAAGAATTGTGCAATTATTTCCTTTTTAATTTTTGAAATTGAGGGTCATAGGTATTTGAGAACGTTAGAGCTAATAGAGCATAGTGATACTATTTAATTTAACCAAAGTCTAGTGAATATTTCAACTTTGAATGTAAACTAATGAATAAACCTGACCACCAAGGAGATTGTTTGCCCAGAGTTTCAAAGCACATTGTCTACAAATGGAAATTGAGATAATTTATAAAAAATATTGACATTACTATGTTTTGTAAGAAGTTTTTAATTTTTTCACTAAAAGGAGGAAACTATTAGTTTTATTGTTAATATGGTAGATATTTAAATTCCTCTTAGATGAGCAGTGATTCCAGTTGTCCCAGTTTGAAATAAGTACCCTGTGAGTATGAGATTAATTAGTGACAATCAGAACAAGATTTAGTATCAGATGTTCAAGAGGAAGTTGCTATTGTTGCATTGATTTTAATATTTGTACATAAACACTGATTTTTTTGAGCATTATTTTGTATTTGTTGTACTTTAATACCTGGTGTACAGTTCCAGAAATAAAAATCTGGAAATCTTTTTTTTTTCTTGGTTCGTGTGAGTATTTGCTACAAAGTAGATTTTTAATGAATCATATGCCATAAACAAATGGGTAGTTAACCATTCTTGAATTGGTTTTAGATGTAATAAACTTTGATAGATAAGTCATGGAGATAATAGACGAGGTAGCTATCCTTTAACCCTTCTAATAAAATTTCATCAATAATGAAATTCTAGCCCTCCCAAAGAATCATAGTTTAATTTAGGGAATATTTATTTAATGTCCAGTACATGTCAAACACCACTCGAGTAAGGTCTGAGATCTGAAAATTGATCTAATATTACCGTTGCCTGTACTTTAGGGTAAACTAGTCTGAATATTTGTGATTTTTCACAGGTTCTAGTTACACCTCCCAACCCCGTGGCTTTTTCAGCTAAAAACCATACGGTTTTTTCCACTTTGTTTCCCGGAGCATCTGTCTCCCCATAGTTCATCTGCAGTGACCAAAGCCTTTCTATTTCTAGTTCCATTTGTAATGCGTAGTTATCAGATTACAGGTACCTGCATAGATTTTTAAATTAGGAAGAAGATAAAAATATAAGCAAGTACCTTGGCTTTGCTGCTTTGGATTTTTATGCAAAACCACATTCATTCAGTCGTCAGAGTGCCTTAGTGTTCAGGCTCCCTGGTGGACACATGAGCACACATACGTGTTTCAAAACACATACATGTGTTTTGAATGCAGCCGAGAGTACTGCTAAGTGCTATATGGGAGCTATTGGAAGCGGCAGGGAGAAGTGGCCATTAGAAGAATTTCTAATAACAGGATCCTGTTTGGTCATAATTTTTATTAAGAGTATACTTTTGAACATGCTGCTTCTCTATTTCTCAAAGGCCTTATAGTATCTAAACCTGGGCATTTCATCACATAGACTTGGATATTAATTTAAACTTGTCCCTGTGGCTGTAATGTTGTCGATTTCTCAGTCGCTTAAGAGTACCTGAGGGGCTGGAGCAATAGCACAGTGGGTAGGGCATTTGCCTTGCTTGCGGCCGACCCGGGTTCAATTCCCAGCATCCTCTATGCCCCCTCCCCCCAGCAGAAATTCCTGAGTGCATGAGCCAGGACTAACCTCTCTGCATCACCGAGTATGACCCCCCCCCCCAAAAAAAAGAGTGCCTTAATCTCTTCCACTGTCCTGGATCTGTAGGGGTTTGTGATCTTAGGCCAGAAGTGCCAGTTTTCTAGGCTTAGCTGGATTTCATATGAGCCATGGGCTGTGTGTTCCTTCATTCTGATACTCTATACTTTACAGTTCCAATGCTGCCAGAAAGTCATCTCCAGAATTCATAAAAGCACATTCATTTTACATGTTAGAAATGAAATCAGACTTTAAAAAAGAAAACGGGTGTATGTGTGGAGACAGCACTGGGTAAGCACCCTGTTTCAGTGCCCAGCACCGTAAAACCAAGATCTCAAGCTCAGAACCAGGACAGCCGTGTGTACAGCCCAGTTCTCCCCAAAAAACAATCTAAAAGGAAGAAAATATGGTGTAGGCTGGAGTACACATGGGTGACCTAGGTTCAATCTCCGGCATCCTATATGGTCCCTCAAGCCCACCAGGAGTAACATATCCCTGCGCACTGCCGAGTGTGACCCCCCAATCCCCCAAATTAATATGGATTAATTGAAAGTAATTAATTACTTGAATTAATTAATTGAAAGTAATTAATATTACTTTCAATGATAAGTATTTGGATTTTGTTTTGTTCAGGGAGAGGGTTAGGGCTAATCCTGGCTCTGCTTGATGCTTGTTTCATTCTACAGTTTCATAAGGGATGGTTCTTAAATTGAGGGTTGGGTGTTGGGATGTGGCCAGGTTTTGACCACACATGGTAGTACTCCTGGCTACTCCTAGCTCTTTGGGGAACCATTCAGTACAGGGAATCAAAATTTGTAGACTGACGTAAACCAAATGCTTTAACACTCATAGTAATTCTCCAGACACCAACAGATATGTGTGTGGAGACTGGGATGAGGGGAGATGGGGGGAGTGGAAGGATGGACAGCATACCTAGTGTGCTCAGGGGACCACAAGTGCCAAGGATTGAACCCAGGTCAACTGCATGCAAGGTCTTAACCCCTTTACTATCTCTCCGGGCTGGAGCAATAGCACAGCGGTGGGGCGTTTGCCTTGGACACAGCCAACATGGCCGACCCGAGTTCGATTCCCCCGCCCCTCTCGGAGAGCCCGGCAAGCTACCGAGAGTATTGGATATGCCAGACACAGTAACAACAACAAAGTCTCCAATGGAGACGTTACTGGGCCCACTCGAGCAAATCGATGATCAACGGGAGGGCCTTTACTTACTTTACTATCTCTCCAACCTAAGTATTTTACTTTAAAAAAAAAAAAGTCTTGGTACTATACGAACTCCATTTATGAGCAGTTTATGAGCAGAAATTGTGAATCTTTGAAGCCTTCATGTAGTAAGATAGATGATTGTCAGCTACTGGTGACATTCCCAACTTCATTTTTAGAAAAAAAAAATCAAACTATCAGAAGTAAAAAGAACAGAACATAACTCTGTTTTTCAACCAGTGGCCACAGGCCCATGACAGACCGTGGACATTTCCACCAAAACTTTCCTCCAGTCATGTTCAGCATCAGATATCGCACTAGCTAAAAACTAATTTTATAACACTGAATTGGATAAAATACTATCTACATTGGCCATCAGCCAGTTCCCCCAAATATTCCTATTTTTCCTGGTCCACAGGTGTAAAAAAGTTAAAAGGATACTATATAACATGCATTTTTTCTGATTTAAATAATTTAGCCCAACTAGTCTGCAAGAGTTTCCATGTTCTACATAAATACATGTGTATGAAGACATATTTTTTTTTTTTGTTTTTGAGGGGGGCTCTGAAGCAGTGATTGGGGTTCTGGGATCCACTCCTAATAAAACAGGGACAGAAATTCATTGCTAGAGCAGAGAAGGTTCTAGAGGCATCTGGATGTCTAGTTCTTTTGGGGAGGGTAGGGGGAGTTGCACCACTAGCTGTGGTGTGGTTAAGGGACTACATTCAGTGCTGGGGATAGAACCCAGGTCACCTACATGCAAAGCATGCCCGGTCTCCTATATGATCTCTTTGGGGTCTCTGATGACTAGACTTTTCATAGATCAACAAAGGGAGAATTGATCCACATAATTTAGCTGGGGGAGGGACACTAACAGGGGCATTGGGATCCTTGGTGTAGAGAGGAATCTACACTGGTGATGGGTATGGTTTTGAAATTATAAGAAACCATTATTAACAGTATTTGAAACCCAGAATCTCAAATTTTTTTAAGTTATTAGAAAATTGGGGCCGGAGCGATTGTACATGGGTAGGTTCAATTCTGGCATCACATAGGGTCCAAGCAGAGTCAAGAGTAATTCTTGAGTGCAGAGCCAGGAGCAACTTCTGAGCATCGCCAGGTATGGTCCCCAAACCAAAAATAAATAAACGAATACCAGAAAAATCATTGTCCCTCTAATGGAGAGAGATCAGGATAGTGTTCTTTTTCGTATCACTTTTTAAACAACATTCTCAAACTACAGCAATCTCTCACACTTTATAAACACTTAAGTTAATACTGAAGGTAGAGAAAATATAGTGGCCCCATGTCTTACCCAGCTAGAACAGTATTTAAATCATACACACAGAAATACACTACCGTGCATATCAGTACAATATAAATTGTAGCTTTATTTGGGAAAAATAAGAGTAACATATAGGTAATATATAAAATAAGAAAAATAGGATTATGGGATTGGGCCACACCTGGCAGGGTGATTCTTGGCTCGGTGCTCACAGCCATATCTTGCTGGAAGCAAGGCAAAGTGCCTTAACACCTGTACTATCTAAAAGTTTTTGCCTAAGTGTGCACACATCAACTTTATAGGAATTAGTAATTATTTAGCTTAAGTTTTATAAACTAGCATATACAATCACTTGATCACTTGACTTCCTGTTAATCGTCGATTTGCTCGAGCGGGCGCCAGTAACGTCTCCATCTGTCCCTGTCGCATGCGAGTGTAGCCCAATGGCGTCTGTTTACTCTAGGAACACGAAGAGCCTCAAACCGATCGTTCCTGATCTTTCCCCACCCGCGGCACTCAAGTGTGCAGGCGCCGGGCGGTTACCGGTCTCGCCATGGAGCAGAAAGTGCTCGCGCTCCAGGCCTGCAAAAAGAGGACCAAGGCCACGAAGGACAAAGCCCAAAGGAAACCTGAAAGTCAGCACAGAGGCTCTGCGCCCCATTCTGAGAGTGATCCACCAGAGCAAGAGGAGGAGATTTTGGGATCTGATGATGACGAACAAGAAGATCCTATTGATTACTGTAAAGGAGGTTACCATCTTGTGAAAATTGGAGATCTCTTCAATGGGAGATACCACGTGATCTGAAAGTTGGGCTGGGGACACTTTTCAACAGTGTGGTTATCATGGGATATCCAGGGGAAGCATACACAAAGGGAAGAAAATCTGAAATTACAAATATTCTGACAGATTTTAATTAGGTATAGTGCATTTAGGTGAAAAATCAATTGAACTGGAATTGCAATGGAAGCAGATTTTATCCTGGAACTAAAATAAATATAATGTCAATAAAAACAAAACAACTCCCACTTCAATTAGGTTCCCAAATACTTGTCTATGGTGGAACTTGGAGAATGATTAACAAAAAATATTCAGAATTAATTTCAGAGCTGAGTACAAACTTCCCAATTCAAACTTAGGTGACAATTGTGTAGTAATTTGAAAAAAGCTCTTCCCCTTGTTTGATATCCCTGAGTGCAACAAGAACAACACATCGAAGTGGGCTGAAAACGAAAAGAGAGACAAAAGTTTAGAAATATTAGCATGCTCATACTTTCAATATACAATATCTGATCTTACAGGCATAGTTTTATTCAGATTCCTCACTCCAATCTTAGTTTATGTACTTGATTTCCCCAAGGTCTTTATAAAAAGATGACGAATGATTAAGTTTATGTGCCTTATAAGATACTATTTATAAGTTTAGGCTCCCAAACCTTGTATCACAAAAAGTATTTTTTAAAATTACACTCATGATAGTTTCCCCTCTAAAAATTAATCTGTATTTTTGTATTCTATAAACTGGAATTCTAAGGCATGAACAAATCAGTGTTACTACTCTAGACTTTTCCAGTAGTTACTGAACAGTAATGATATAAAGGCTCAATGTTATGGCCAAAAACCCAATTGTTACGTATACATATATAGCCAAAAGTTACTAAGTTTTTTAAGTACAGAAAATAGTTTAAGTTTTTTAAATGCTACTCATATTAAAAGGGATATTTAGTTGGGCCCATATGAAGTTTAGTTAGCAAGAAGCTGTTGAGAGAAATTACATATTCCGACAAAATTGTTAATAGAAACATCAAGTTCTACAGAATGACTTCGATTTAGAATTTTGAGTTGGAGCTACAGAAATAGGATACTGAGTAAAGCACTTGGTCCAATCCCCAGCACCACGGAGAGTGATCCCTGAGCAAAGAGCCAGGAATAAACTGGGTCTGGCCCAACCCGCCTTTCCACCCCCATAAAAAACAATTTTGAATTGAACAATATCAATGGTTTGCCATAGAGTGAAGTGCAAATGTTTCATTAAGCATGTTATCTTCTGGATATTTCCCTTTTTCTCAGTGTCTTTAAAAGTTAAAAAAAAAAAAAAAGACAAGGTAGTCTTTAACTGGATGCTTTCATGTGAGACCGAGAACGTGACCCTTGAAATGATTAAAAACGGAGCTGAAGATTCTGGAGCACTGCACTGTAGCACTGTCCTCCTGTTGTCCATCAGTTTGCTCGAGCGGGCATCAATAACGTCTCCATTGTGAGACTTGTTGTTACTGTGTTTGGCAGATGGAATACGCCACGGGGAGCTTGCCAGGCTCTGCCGTGGGGGCGGGATACTCTCGGTGGCTTGTCGGACTCTCCGAGAGGAGTGGAGGAATGGATCCCCGGGTCGGCCCTGTAGACTGCTTGCAAGACAAACTCCCTAACACTGTGCTATCGCTCCAGCCCAAAAGGAGTAATAATAAGCAGAATAAGCTAATGAATGGGCTGGAGCACAGCGGGTAGGGCATTTGCCTTGCATGCAGCCAACATGGTCGAACCATGTTGGATTCCTCTGCCCCTCTTGGAGAGCCTGGCAAGCTACCGAGAGGATCTCGCCCATACGGCAAAGCCTGGCAAGCTACCCATGACGTGTTCGATATGCCAAACACAGTAACAACAGTCTCACGATGGAGACGTTACTGGGCCCGCTCAAGCAAATCGATGAACAACGGGAAGACAGTGACAGTGAAGCTAATGAATATTTTAGGATTTCAATTAAGCCCATACTAACACTTTAAAAAGTATGTGTTTAATTAAAAAAAAAAGCTATAATTTTTTTGTTTTGGGTCACACCTGGCGATGCACAGGGGTTACTCCTGGCTTTGCACTCAGGAATTACCCTGGCGGTGCTCAGGGGACCATATGGGATGCTGGGAATTGAACCCGGGTTGGCCACATGCAAGGCAAACATCCTACCCACTGTGCTATTGCTCCAGCTACTAACCTATAATTTTTTACTAAAACTTTTACCAAATTTTAAAAAGCTTCTCTTTAGAAAATACACTTTTAAAGTTATATTAGCATAAGAGAAGAACAGAAAAACTTCGAGTAGACCAACCTTTGTTTGTCAGAGCTGTAGGCAATGTTTGGAAGATACTGCTTCAGTTCTACAGGGAAAACTGCAGGCACATCAAATTCCTGATAACAGACATTAGCTGCTCTGTCTAGGAACAGATACGTAATTTTCAGAAACTGCCATTTTATAAGATCATGGAAATTATCCCTGAGTTGTATTTCTTAATATATCATTTTCAAACATCGAAATACACTCAAATTACTAATCACTATTATGTTCTGGGCATTTCTAACTTACATTAGAAATGTATACTTATACATAACTTTTTATAAAAGGTAGGTAAAGGCCCTCCCGTTGATCGTCGATTTGCTCGAGCGGGCCCAGTAACGTCTCCATTGGAGACTTTGTTGTTACTGTGTTTGGCATATCAAATACGGCACGGGGAGCTTGCCAGGCTCTGCCGTGCGGGCGAGATACTCTCGGTAGCTTGCCGGGCTCTCCGAGAGGGGCGGAGGAATCGAACTCAGGTCGGCCACGTTGGCTGCGTGCAAGGCAAACGCCCTACTGCTGTGCTATCGCTCCAGCCCATAACTTTTTATAAACTTGTATTTATATTTATATATGCTAATTTAAAAATACATATATATATGCTTCCTCTTTTTCTTTTTTTTTGCTGGGGGTGGGGTGGTGGTGGTTGGTCAGTGCTCAGGGGCTACTCCTGGCCCTCTGCTGAGGGTTCACTGCTGGTGGTTCGGACCATATTTGGTGCCCAGGAGACCATAGAAGGTGCCGGGGATTGGCCGCATGAAAGGCAAGCGCCTTATCCACTGTACTATCTCTCTCACCCCCAATTAAGTAAAGACCTTCACTTAATATAGTTGATTCTTGAAAGCTGCAACTTTAAGTGAAACAACCTATAAACAAAATTAGGTCCTTAAATAATACAGCTTCACTCAACTTCCAGTCTTGTTTTTTTTCTCATCGATGTTAAAATTAAAGAATGTTATAATTAAATTTATAATAAAACAATGTTATAATTAATAAAATGCCTGAGTTGGAGGACATGCTGGATAGGCCACATCCAGCAATGCTCAGGGGTTTCTCCTGGCTCTGCACTCAGGAATAACTCCTGGCACCTGGCATATTAGGGCAACTATACGGGATGCCAAGGATCGAAGCCAGATTGGCTGCATGCAAGGCAAGTGCCCTCACCCGCGGTACCATCTCTCCATCCCCTTATCAGTCTCTTTTTAAAGATCAGGCTGAGAAGGGATTCAGATTCACAGAAGAGTCTGGTCTTCCTGACGCCAAAGCCTATACTCCCTGATCATCGACAACACTTGTACTTTGAAGAAAGGTAAACAAGAAAAGAAGGGCTTACCAATTTGGTCATCTTTTAGGATATATTGAGGCACTGACAAAATAACTACAAAAAGCTAACATAGTAATGCTCAAAAGGGTAGCTGGTATCACTTATATTACAAAATTAGGAAAGTGGTAAATAAAAGAATTCCAATTAATGACATTATTATTATTAACATTATTTCTTCAAATTCACATGATACCTGTCCCCAAAAAGTAATAGCTTACAGGCCGGGATGTGATCCATTCACAAAGTGGTTCAGCAATAAAGCACTAGCCTAGCACGTGCATACTTTACATATAGTTTACTTAAGAATTTTGAATAGCTGAGATGTCTCTGACATTCGATCATAATGCAATGAGTGTCATTATGGTGTATTTGTGTCAGCCCCATGATGCCAACTTACCATTTGAACAATTGTTGACATACTGTCCTATAGCCAAGGGATTATGAATTTCTGATGTCAGCCATGTACTATCACTCATTTTAAAAGGGCCAAGTTGATCTCTCCCATTGCAAGATCTAAAACAGGTGAACGCATGTGTTTAGGGACTGTTCTTCTGTGACTTAAAATTCAAAAATACAAAATCAACCATAAAATTGAACAATTTCTCTTAAAAATATTTTGTCTAATCAATAGTTGCTACACAGCAGCTGCCTAAATAGAATTTTATTTAAAGCACAGATGCCTTTAGCTTTGTCACTGTTGTAAGTCTGCTATATTTAAATTTTAGTATGGGCACTAACTTACCTGTACACAACTTTTGATATTCCTTTGTCATTTCCATCAATGAGTACCCCATCTAGGCATCTGAATATAAATGGATTTCCAATGGACTGGAAAAATATTGGCTCATACTTCTGATACACTGTACCTATTACATAAGACAAAAACAATAACATGAAAAAGCTTTCTTAAGATCTCACCACCAATCTAGACTATCATGTTTTTATAGGGCTAATTTCCTTTTTTTTTTTTTTTTTTTTTTGCTTTTTGGGACACACCCGGCAATGCACAGGGGTTACTCCTGGCTCATGCACTCAGAAATTACTCCTGGCGGTGCTCAGGGGACCATCCTGGCTCATGGACTCAGGAATTACTTCTGGCGGTGCTCAGGGGACCATATGGGATGCTGGGAATCGAACCCGGGTCGGCCGCGTGCAAGGCAAATGCCCTAATTTCCAGCCCCTAATTTCCATTTTTGAAGAGGGTCCAGTCACAGATATAATTCAGTGTGTTAGGGTACTTGCCTGGCAAGCAGCTGACCTCAGGTCTATCCCTGGCACAGCACCTGGTCACCAGAGCACAGAGTCAGGAATAGTACCTGAGCACTGCTGGTGTGACCCAAATCCATCTCCTTCCAAAAGAATTTCCAACCACAGATGAAGCACAGTACCATTTTTTTAACCAAACTATTACTAAACATAAACTGTGAACATGACATTTAAGTTCAATTTGTGTCTGTGTGTCTGTGTGTATTGGGGGGGGGGGCCTAGTGAGACTGTGGGAAAGAGAAAGAGAGAGAGAGAGAGAGAGAGAGAGAGAGATGTGTTTGACTTTTTACTTTCTTTTTGATGTTTGGGCCACACCTAGCAGTGCTCAGGGCTTACTCTGTGCTCAAGGATCACTCCTGGTGCGGCATGGAGGACCACATGAGGTGCCGATCAAACTGAAGTTGGCCATGTGCAAGGCAAACAATCTACCACTGAACTATCAGCTCCCGAGAATTGACATTTTTAAGTAAAGTTGTTTATTAGGCTGGGGATATGCTTCAGTGGACTAAATGTGTGTACTGTATGCATAAATGTATTAGACCTCGATCTAATTCTGACACTGGATATATCTATAATAATAACCAATTAAGTAAATGGTGTAGTTATATGATGGATGAGTTTGACCTACCAGGTTGTTTCTCCTTTCACTAGCAATAGGAGTAGAAAATAAATATTATTTCCTTGCAGAGCCTGGCAAGCTACCTGTGGCGTACTCGATATGCCAAAACCAGTAACAATGATAGTTCTCATTCCCCTGACCCTGAAAGAGCCCCCAATATGCCACCGGACTACACTAGCACATGACAGGGATGAATGGAACCGTTACTGGTGCCCGCTTGAGCAAATCGATAAACAACGGGATGATAGTGATAGTGATTTTCCTATATGCTAGACAAGTTAATCTATTTATTACATTTAAATTAGCATTAATGTGTTTGTTGTTGGCTTCCTCTAGTCTTTACTGAATCTGGTTGTTGTGTGAGAAGAAACTGAGACACCATACTCAGGAATTTAAGATTACAAAACTAGCAGAATGATTTTCAACATCTAAGTCTTTCATTTTTTCAGTTTTTGGGTCACATCCAGCAACGTTCAGAAATAACCCCAGATCTGCACTCAGGAATTACTCCTGAATACTGCCCAGGAATGGGATGCCAGGGACTAAAACAGTCCTGTGTGTCCAAGGCCAGCAAGCACTTTATCTGCTATACTACCTCTCCAGTCACCAAAACCTAAGTCTTCGTGATTTAAACATCCATATATATGTATATATAAAAATATATATGTATACTTTTTCAGTACACCAAATATTATTATTTAACAAGTAACATATTCATTGAGCACTTTAATCAAAGATGTTGCAAAGAGATGTTGTACTTTGTAAGTATAGATATGGGAAGAAGCGGTGAATGATATGGTTCAGCAGTATAACCTTCCACATGTAAGGCCCCTAGTTTGATCCTCAGCATCAGCAAAAACAAAAACAAAGCAGGGCAGCACGGGAAATGAAAAGATATTTATTCATAATTTATAGACAAATTCTAAAAAGGTGGCAGGGACGGGGTGAGAAATGACATGAAAGTACTTATTCATGCCTTGGACGCTTAAATTCTATCTTTTCAATAGCACACACTTGCATGCGGCCCACCTGGCTGACGCGAGTTTGATTCCTTCGCCCCTCTTGGAGAGCTCGGCAAGCTACCGAGAGTATCTCCCCTGCACGGTAAAGCCTGGCAAGCTACCCTGCACGTATTGGATATGCCAAACACAGTAACAACAAGTCTCACAATGGAGTCCTTACTGGGCCCGCTGGAGCAAATCAATGAACAAGGGAGGACAGTGCTATAGTGCTAAAATGTTTTAACCCTTACCATTTACCTTCAGTTATCAATTGCCTAAGATAAACTAATTTATTCTTTAATTAGCTTTTAAGTACAAAGGCCCTCAAATATAGACATTTTGTTTAAATTTCTTTTGTATTTTGACTCGGATTAAAAAGAAACATTTTTAGGACCAAAGAGAACAGTACAGAGGGTAGGGTGTTTGCCTGGCATGTGTTCCACCTGGTTTGACTCCGAGAGATGGTTCTCCTGCACCTCCAGTGATCCCTGAGAGTAGAGCAAGGAGAAACCCAGAGCCAAGTCACATACAGCTCCAAAACAAAAATAAATAAAAATTAAGGGTTTTTTTTGGGGGGGAGGGGAGGGTGAGTTCGGTTCGGTTGTTTAAGTCACACCTGGCGGTGCTCAGAGCTTACACCTGGCTCTATGCTCAGGAATCACTCCTGGCAGGCTCAGGAGACTATATGGGATGCAGGGGTTATTGAAACCTGGCCAACTGCACGAAAGGCAAACACCCTACCCATTGTACTATAACTCCAGCGCTCAAGATTAATATTTTAAAATTCTTGCCACATGGAATAAAACAACTCATTCAAGGACTTGATTTCATTATATACAGCGTGGTTTAAAGTCAGTTTCCAAGAATCTGTGTTAAATGAGAATTTACTTGTAATCTTTATTAAAGTAGACCATACTATATTCTCCTAAATTTATAAACTAGAATTTTTTTCCTCAAAATTTATCTAATTCCCAAAATACTAAAGAATACCAACACATAAAATGATTTACAGTTAATTTCCATGTCAGTTTTTTAAAAAAATCTAAAAATCTGAGTTTCTAACAAGCCTCTTACTCTAAAGATTGCAGAACTAGACATTTTGTTGCATTTATATATTGCAGCATTAAAGAAACTCTTGTACTAACTGTGCCATTACCAGGATACATAGAAACAACCGCTCCTTTTGGTATCAGTCCTTTAGTAACGAAGACCCCTTTTCCAGCAGAAATCAACGAGCTAGTTGCTAGTGCAACACTGAAACCCAATGTCTTATAAAGAATTTCTTCTGGTTTAAAGGTGTTTGGTTGTTGATGTCTGTATTCAAGCAGTTTCACCTTTGGCTGCTGAACTGACAGTAAGTCTTGGTATTTTGATTTAACGGATTCTGGAAGCCGAGTCAAAATATCTGATTGCTTATTGAAATCATTAATAAACAGAGCCTGGAAAACTGTCAGTAATGTTCCTAGGACATCTTCATCTGAGATAACTTTGTCTTTGGAATCCTCTGGAACATATCGAAGGGTCCTGAAAACGGGAAAAGTTTCTATTCACTATGCTTCATCTTACACAAGTTTTTTTAATCCCTTTGGGTTACTGGTCTTGGGAAGGACATAAAAATTAAGTTTACCAGAGCTGCTAGGCAGGGATTTTCTGTCAAAAAAAGTTAACAAGCGCCTAAACAGAAAGGTCCGTCCTATATAAATTGTTATTGAACGCCTCAAGTCCTATTTGCAGACAAGAAAAATGAGGATTTTAGAATCAGGAAATCTGCCCAACGTCCTAAAGCTGCTAAATGGGAGAAACAAAAAGACCCAAGAGAAGCTGCTCTCCTCCCTCCACATTCACAGCCACTCCGAGTCCCTCCTGAGACCCTCCAGATCGCAAAGGCTCCCTGCAGTTTCGTGCCATTCAATGACATTGTGTGTCTCTGCCGCCTTCTCGCCCCAGAGTACATCTTTAATTTCCAAAACAGTACTGTTTTCAGTACTTGGGAAAAGAAATCCACATCTCACAATTCTAAAACAGCGATGCATCTTAATTTTCGCTTCTGCCTTACAAAACTTCGGGAGAGCTCCTGCATGGGCTTCCACTGAGCTCGACCGTCAGCTTTCGACTGGTTTATTTCTTCCAAAACCCGGTTAGCACATCTCTTACCCAGAGCCCGCTGGAACCTGCACCCCCGTGACCCACCCAACTATCTCCCTCTCTCCTCGCATGAACACAGACAACATTTCCGAGCGCTTTCGGTGACTTTTCATCCGTTTTTATGCGTCGGCAAACTAAAACGACCCCTCGGCACTGAAGGGCTGCTAACTAAAAATTAAAGCAAGGAACTGTGGAAAAAAAAAAAAAGTACATTGGGCTTTTTTTTTCTAAGGGGGGTCGCGGGTATTTCGACGTCGGCCCCTGCTGTACAGGCCACGGAACCCCACGCAGGGCGACTTTCCGTTCTGAAATGAACGCAGCGAAACACGCCAAACCGCACCGCGGGGGCCAGAAGACCCCGGGGCCCCGCTGACCTCGCAGCGTGGAGAACTATGGGAAACAGGCCCTGGCCCCGCCCACCACAGGCCCCGCGCCCAATCGCGGCGCCCCCAGCCCCCGGTGTTAAATGCCACTTGCCTCGCCACGCCCACCGGAGGCCCCGCCTGTCTCTGGCTCCGCCCACCAAGGGTGCCGCCCGCCCAGGTACAGCTCCCATTGGTCCGAGTCAGCGCAGGCCCCTCCCACGCTCGCCGCCCTCCTGAGCCGGCCTCTCTGGCCTTTTCGGCGTCACCGGCCCGCGGCTCCGCCCAGCCCGGGGCCTCCTGGCCCCGAGTTCCGCCGCCGGCGCGCCTGGGCCGCGGATAGGCGCCCCTTGGACCGCCGACTGGCGCTCTCACCTCGGATTGTGGCTTAGGTTCAACGCGATCCAGGGTACGAAGCGGTACCTGTAACGGAGCCATCGCTGCCGCAGGTCCCGCAGCAGGCGACCCGGCATAGCGCGGTCCGCAGGGGAACGCGGGCGAGTGGCGGGGCCGGCGTGGGGCCCGCCCCTGCCCGGGGAGGGACGCCGGCCGCGCCGGCCCGCCCCTGCCCCGGCTCCGCCCTCCTCCGGACGCCCCTCGCCCCCGCCCTCCGTGGCTTCCGTGCCTTCTCCCGCTTGGCCGTGGCTAGCAGAGTCGGTGGGCGCGCGGAATCGAGGAGGCTCCCGGTTCCCGTCTCCCCTTTTAGCGCAGGCTTCCCGGGCTTCCTGAGACCATGCTCGGTTCCAGTGGGGCCAAATTGCTAAGAGTCCACGAACCGCCTTCCAGTCTCCAAGTCTGTCCCAGTCCAGGTGGGACCCGGGAGACGGTTCCGTGGGCTGGAAGCACATGCTGTCCCTGCCATGCTGTCCTGCCATGCCCCGGGTCCTTCCCTGACACCGCATAGCCGCCCCTGCTGCCCTCGACCTGGCATCTTGAGGTGTGTCACCCCCTCATCACCCCCAAAACAGAACCACGGATTCTACTTGCTGAGGCTGCAGAGTCTGCTTTCTTGTTCTTTCAGAACAAGTCACTTTTATTCCCCATTCTCACAGCCAGCAGCAAGTTAGCAGAAACATTTAAGAGCTGATGCCAGGGGCTGGAGCAATAGCACAGCGGGTAGGGCGTTTGTCTTGCATGCGGCCGACCTGGGTTCGATTCCCAGCATCCCATTATGGTCCCCTGAGCACCTCCAGGAGTAACTCCTGAGTGCAGAGCCAGGAGTAACCCCTGTGCATCGCCAGGTGTGACCCAAAAAGCCAAAAAAAAAAAAAAAGAAGAGATGATGCCCGGCTCCAGAGGAGAAGGAAAGTGTCCTTTCTTTCTGCACCCCCATTCTTTGGATTTTCAACGGTGTTACACCATCCCTGGGATTTCTGATAACCCTACTCATTTATAATTCCCACTTTGGCCATGCTCACTAGGTTTCTACATGCTTTTGTTGTCATGACCCCTTTATTTTTGAAGTGTTTTTAAGTCTGGGGGCCTGTGACTTGTTTATAGTATTATTCCAAGATTTGGTATTAAGGCTATATCGACTTCATATGGCAAACTGAGAAAGCTTCCATTCTACTCTATTACCCAAAATGTGTGTAGATATAAAGATGAGATTAGTGTTATTCCATATTCTTGAATTGTGATAGAAATCCCCAGTGAAATTGTCTGTACTTACAGGTTTGTTTGTTTGTTTTTAGTAAGAATTTAATTTCTTTTTTCTTTTGGGAGATTTTTAGTTTGGGGGACACACCTTGTGGTCCTCAAGGTATAATCCACTGAAATTAGCACTGTAGCACTGTCCTCTGGTTGTTCAATTTGCTCAAGCAGGCACCAGTAACATCTCCATTGTGAGACTTGTTACTGTTTTTGGCATACGGACTACGCCATGGGGAGCTTGCGAGACTGCCATGAGGGCAGGATACCCTCAGTAGCTTGCCAGTAAAGTTTTGAAAATTCTCAATAATTAAAAAAATTTTTTTGTTTTGGGGCCACACCCAATGTTGCTCAAGGGAATATTTCTGGCTTAGGGGGTCGTTCTGGGAATATACATTGCCAGGATCAAAGCTAGACTCAAACTCTGACATGTATAGCAAGCTCTCTAACCCTTTGAACTAGCTCCACAGACTCCCTCAATTATGTTTTGGTTTGGGAGCCCCATCTGACAGTGCTTAGGCTTACCCCTGGCTCTGCACCCAGGAATTATTCCTGGTGGTGGTCAGGGAACCATGTGGGATGCCAGGGATTGAACCAGGTCCACTGCGTGCAAGGAAAGTGCCCTTTCCCGCTTTATTATTGCTCAGCCCCATTTTTAAAATATAATTTATTGAGCTTTTGTTTACTCAGATCTCACCAGTGCTTTTAATTTTATTTTGTTTTGGGGTGATACCCAGTGGTGCCTGGAGGCTAGTCCCAGCCTGGATTTCGCTCTCTGCAGTACAGTGCCTGGATCTAATCTGGACTCCCTTTCAGGCAAAATATGCACTCAGTCTTTTTTTTTTTTGCATCACACTCGGCGATGCACAGGGGTTACTCCTGGCTCTGCACTCAGGAATTACTCCTGGTGGTGCTCAGGGGCCCTCCCGTTGTTCATCCATTTGCTCGAGCGGGCCCAGTAACGTCTCCATTGGAGACTTTGTTGTTACTGTGTCTGGCATATCGAATACGTCACGGGGAGCTTGCCAGGCTCTGCCGTGCGGGCAAGATACTCTCGGTAGCTTGCCAGGCTCTTCGAGAGGGGCGGAGGAATCGAACTCGGGTCGGCCATGTTGGCTGCGTGCAAGGCAAACGCCCTACCGCTGTGCTATCGCTCAGGGGGACCATAGGGGATGCTGGGAGTCGAACTTGGGTCAGCTGCGTGCAAGGCAAACGCCCCACCCACTGTGCTATCACTCCAGCCCTGCACTCAGTCTTTTGAGTTATTTCTCCAGCCCCAATAATTTGAAAAGGTATAACGTGATCTAATGATGAAAGTGAAAATCAAGTTTTAGAATCACATGCAACATTTTGAGAAGTTTGTGCCAGGGATTTTTTTTTAAATATATATTTAAAGTTAATTCTAGTACTGTGAATTACAGCAGCATTCTGCATAATGGTACTATTACTGACATTTTTTTTTGCCACACTCAGTGATGCTTAGAGCTTACTTCTGGGTCTGTGGTCAGGGATCTCTCCTGGAAGGGTTCAGGGGACCATATGCGACTGGGGATCAAACCCGGTTCTGTAGTATGTAAGGAAATCTCCCTACCCATTGTTCTATGGCTCCAGTCCGCATACTGCATATTGGTTTTATTAGAAAAAACATGTCAAGTTTTTGTGCTGCAGGACCCAAAATAAATGTCAAAAAAAGGCGTGTTTGGGGAGTTAAGGGGAGAAATGAGCAGGGGCCTTAGAGGGGAAACAGGTCTCTGCGAATTACAGCCTCTTAGACCTCTTTACTGCCATCTAATGGGGATTAGTCGTAATGAATATACAACTCAAATAGAACTGTGCTAATAATGAATCCCCAGAGCCGTGTCGCAACTAAAAAATTGTGGCAGCTTTAGGTATTCACTGGAAAATTCTGTACAGAAAAGGCTGCAAGAACCACTGGCAGGAGAAAGATACAGAGGTGGGATTAAACACACTGAGTTCAGAGAGCAAGAATGGAATGAGTTTAGAGCAGAAAATCCTGTTATTCCCTAATGGGAAGCCAAGATTTAGTTAGAGTTACGTTGACCCTGAGAAAATTTCAAGATTTGAGATAATAGGCAGAAAGTAGCCATTGGAGGTTCTTAAGCGGAATATTGAGTAGAAATAACTTGGGAAACTCTGAAAACTCAGAACACTGGTTGGCAGGCTGGCTAGCTGATGGTGATAGATGGATGAACGGGTGGGTGGCTGAGAGAATGATAGATGGTTGGTGGGTGGGTGGGTGGGTGGATGAATGAAGAGGTGGTTGGGTGGGTGGATGGATGGATGGATGGATGGATGGTGGATGGATGAATGGCTGGCTGGCTGGGTGGATAATTAGCTAAGGTCAGAGTGGTCTTGTGAACAGGACACTAGGAAAGGAGCTGTCACATTCAAACAGCTTCTTGTCATGACTGCCAGTTAAAAGGGAATGGGAGTACCGAGTGTCCTGTTGAAATAAACAACCAGTTGAGGTTTTAAATTGCATAAAACAAATTTTTCATTGATTGAATGTTTTTTTTTCTATGAAAAATACTGATATAAGTCCATTATTCATTCCTGAAAAAAAAAAGAGGTGAAGTTTGGTTTTCCAAATACGTGGCAAAATTGCCACTGTGTTAAGATTATCCTTAAACTCAAAAAAAAAATTTTTTTTTTTACGGTGCTGCCCTCTTCTGGTGCTACTGGCTGTACCATTGCTCTGGCCCCAAGGCTGTCTTTTCAGAGTTGGGAATATTGACTCTGCTTTCCCTCCAGCTCTTGTCTGTTTGAAGAGAGCAGTTGCTTTGGCAGGAAGTAAAAGCTACACAGATCTGGCTTTGCCTGACTGGCCAGTGTGTTCAGCTCAGAAGCTGGACATGGGGTTAATGTGGGAAGGCTGCAGGGTTTGGAGGAAGTTCCTTTGCTCTAGTAGAACATCACTCATCCTTCCATCCTCCTTATTTCATGTAAATGAAGGGAAATCCCTCCTGGTGCTACAGGTTGCTGATGGAGGAGGGACTGCTGCTGGCTTTGAGAGGAGGACAGTCAAGCTGGCCTCAGGACTCTGGGCTGTGATAAATTTGCCAGCTTCCTATATGGACTCGCTTTTCCTGACCCCTCACAGACCATCTTGAATGAGTATGTCCTCTAACTAGAAGAGGAATGACATCTGACCAGTTCTGTGTGCCTTTGCACCAACTTTAGTCCAGGTGTGTGAGTGGTATCTTGTGCAAGACACCAGTCCTTGGTAGGTGAGGGGAATATGTTTTTTTTTTCTTTTCGGGTCACACCCCAAACCTGGAGCCATAGTACAGCGGTAGGGCGTTTGCATTGCACGTAGCCAGCCTGGCCGAGCCAGGTTCAATTCCTCCGCCCCTCTCGAGAGCCCGGCAAGCTACCGAGAGTATCTCGCCCGCACGGCAGAGCCTGGCAAGCTCCTGGTGACGTATTCGATATGCCAAACACAGTAACAACAAGTCTCACAATGGAGATGTTACTGGGCCCGCTCGAGCAAATCAATGAACAACGGGAGGACAGTGCACAGTACTACAGTGCCCTCTTCTGGATGCTGGGTAACTGCACCAGTAGATGATTAGTTTAGACTGAATTGTCACTGAAATATGGGAAGCCCACTTCAAAAAAATGGGAAAAAGCAGGGATATCAGGCACATCATGGTGTAAATGGTAAACTCCTCAACTCAGAGCCAGAACTAACCCAAGTGCCACCAGGTATGATCCAAACCCTGTAACACATCCCCGCCCTCCCCAGAAGTAACCTCTGATGAACATCATAATTGACAGTGTGACTAGCACAGCCTCATGTGTGAGCTCTGGGGAGTACCACAAGTAAAT